CCGAACCATGAATTGTTCAAAGATTCATCGTCGTAATTTTGGGCCCAGAATCGAAAACTTAAAGAAATATGTAAACATTACTTCATTTACTGACTTGTTCATTTACAATAGTGATTATTGAACTTCCCAGAAGCGCGATGTTCCCATGAATGGCGACCTAATATTCCCGTTAAATGTGGGAACAAAACCGACGATAGTTTATATTTGCATTTTTCATGGTAGACATTAAAGAAGATTATTCTGACGGATTGTGATTGGCTGGATTTGCAGATACATTCAGGCTGTCAAAGAATTACGAGTGACGTTTTCTTCCATTTATGAAATCACCATAGATGTTGTAATTCCAATTACAAAATCAAACAAATCAGATACGTCAATAAAACTTCTGAATGTTACGGTTGCGTCCTGCTATCACCTGCTGAAGTTCGCTTTAGGACAATGTTTGCAAATCTTGCAGATGTTTATTGCAGACCTCTTACAAATGCTTTCCTGATATATGCTTGTTGATTTATGGTGAAGCTCCGGTGCTCAAACACTTGAAACCTTCTGGACATGGGCTGAAATCATGCTGTTTTGAAGCGTATTACTAGTGTTTTAAGCACATGTTTAATCAGGGACTGATCCTTTTATATCTGAAGAAATGCGGAGACTTCTGGCAATGCACTCTGAATCAACCTCATTCCGGTTTCTCTAGTTTCTGGCATTTTCTGCAGCGAAGTGTCGCCAATGTTTTCTTGAACACAAATACGCAAATAAATTTAAATGCAGTGTTTAATTTTTGTTCATTACCGTTAAACACTATCACTCTTGGGAAGAGATATACAGTGTCAATGCTATTTAAAAAACGTTGTTTTTTGACATTTTGAATTTCAAATTGATTGCATGTTGAATACAAAATAATGTCCATTATGTAAACAGTACACTGTTCAAAACATACTTAAATATATTTAACATATTCAAAACATATGTTCCTATGTGCACTTTTTCGAAATGTGAAACACATTCTACCATAGGACATTTCATATGTGAACGAATGCTCTATTTATGAATTTTGGTTGGCAGAAATAGTGAAAGAAAGACAAATGGTCCAGATATTAGATGGTATGCTAGAATAAAAAGACTGATCCATTAGTCTTCCCGTCAAAAAGGCATGTTATCGTGTAGAAGAACGATTTGAGCAGCTCTGGGCAAGGATTGAAAGCATGAATTGGTACAAAAAATGAAGAGACGATGTTAGCTGCAGAATGATTTGTCTTGTATGACAAATGATGTAAGAAAATGACACCACTAATAGAAGGAAGATGGTCATTGATCACAAAAGAAAGCATGACGAGGATTATACAATTCATCGTTTGAGAAGGACGCTTGCTAAATTAAGGTTATTCAAAACTGTACAAGTGGTGGAAAGTTTGACCGATAGTAAAAAGATTTTACGTATAATGTGGCATGCTTTGATATTGTATGTTAGCAACCTTCCCAAATTCAGTTTTTCTTCATCTTCATGAGGGAAAAGCAATGATTCAGTTATTGTTCCACCTTATAGAACGGAAATTAATGAGATGCTCTACAGTAATCATGAATGGCAGGAGCACGAATTTTGAATCAACTATGAGGAAGAGATGTGAAGACTAGAACATACTTTTTTCGGTTTCTGGTATGTTGTTTTTAGGCTCGACGACTAAATGCCGGCAAATCCGTAAAACTACGCGTAAAGTGTGCGGCAGGAATTTTATTCGATTTTACCACAGGCAGTTGAACCGTGGAAATCGGGTATGGTGCAGTCGGTGAGAAAAGAAATGGTGAAATCAACAAGGTTATTAATAATTCACTCCGCTCATGATATAACCTTATAGAAAAGAATAGAAGATATATCTACTCAATATCTTCATTCACGAGCCATACAGCTCACTGATAGTGTAGAAGGAACAACTTCAATGAAAATTAAAAGTATGAGAGGGTGAGCAAATCTTGCCACCCAGTGAGATATACAAGCATTCGCTCCGTTATAGCTCTGTCGCTTCTTCATTTGTGGTTCAGAAGATTGCATAATGAATCGAGCCTAACTTTTAATATGAAGGACCAATGACTCTTGATGTAAGCTAGAAATTTATAAATAAGCCCATCCTATAAACTGCTCTAACAAGTGAACCCATGAATAAGACGTAAGGTAATTTTTAGAATCTGGTCCTATGTTGTAATTGCTCCGCATTTGCTTATGTAATTCAAGTTTAAAGAGATAAGCCTGTAAAATGTTTTTTGCAGACAGGTTTTGGTATAGTTAAATAGTACAAAACACCTATATGTACACTATTTCCAAGGGGTGATCTTTCAGTTGGGTGAACGCGTCTGCATTCGACGGAGCCAATAAAATTAAGTTTTCGACTGTGATAAGAGAAAGCTGTGGTGCCATAACAAAGTTAATATGAACTTGAGGACTGGAGTCACAATGATTCCAATCTGCTAATAAAGTTTCCTGTTATTTAGGTTTTGCCTGAAAATTTTTTGTCTCACTTAAGCGATATTTTGCAGACCATTTATCTCGAATATGACACGAGTAGAGTTGTGCGAAACGGCAACGAAGCCTCCAACGTCGGTCTTAGTTTGTGCCTTGAACAATGAATACACAAATCTGTTTTCAGTGAACCGATTATTCATCAGTTAGCAAATTCTGTGAGTTTTACCTAAGTATTCGGCTACACTTGTGACATATCGTGCATGACGAGACTGGAGTTGAAAATTTAGAAAGAGAAAGATGCAGGTGAGGGTAAACTCAGAATTTTAGGCTGGTTGAAAATTTACGTTCAGGGGTGAAAATATCTGCAATCATATGACCTTTGGCAAATGAAACTGGCAACACAGTTAACTTTATCAGAAACAAAGCAAGGGTTAATGATGCAATTTGCAGTGAGCGAGGCAAATGACAACTACCGCAACTACGGTAACGAAGCACACGCGAAAATAGCGACAGGCGCGTACTGTAGATGACTGACGAACGGACGCGCATTACAACCCGCTTTGAACACATATCACAACTAATATGTCAGTGGTTGAAGCGACGAGTGATTGACGACGCGAGTACCCATTCACCTCGATGTTGGAATACGCACAATAATACTGTAGTGGAAGAAGTCTTCCCATAGCAGCAGTGGTAGAAGGCGAACTGATGACTGCATGCGGAACGTGCAGGCAGCTCAAAACAGCTGAGTAGCAGCGTAGCGGCAAGAAGTTCTGGGAAATTGGTAGCACGGCGAGATGCTCTTGACAGCTACTGGGCCAATCTCTGCAGCAGTGCCAGCTGTAACATTGGGCGCTGAATATTGAGGCGCTGACGGATATGTCATACTGTATAATGGAGAGCCAAACGAGTCAAAGTTGTCGCGGCTCCTGCCGACCTTGACGTTCACCATGTACGGGTAAGGGAGCGACGGATAGGGCTTATAAATTTCGTTGTTGATGCAGTGAGAGCCGATGGTGCTGAAGCAATGTTGCGACCCCTGTTGAATCTCTAATCGTGCCATCTTCACCTCGTTGACCGCTTTTTCAAGGACATTGCAATTTTCACTGTCTCCACCAATTCTTCGTGTCCCGTCTCCACCGTCCTCAGCCTTAACGTTACTCGATCGATGCTCCTTGTCCACTTTAAAACGTCGGCGACGCCTAAGGAAGCTGCCGTTGTCAAACATCGTCAAGCTGTCAGGATGCAGTGTCCAGTAGCTGCCCTTGCCGTTCTTGTTGTCCGTCTGCGGAACCTTGACGAAACACTCGTTTAGCGATAGGTTGTGACGTATGCTGTTCTGCCAGCCCTGCGAATTGTGCCTGTAGTACGGAAACGTGTCCATGATGAACTTGTATATGTCCACCAGTTTCATCTTCCGCTCGGGACTGCTCTGAATGGCCATCGCTATCAGTGCTATGTAGCTGTACGGGGGCTTGCCATTCTGCAGGTAATTGCCGGTACTGATCCTGCAGCTGGGCGGCGACATGCACGAAGAAGTGTCGTACAGTCCCTGCAGCTGTTGCAGTTCCTGGCTCACACTGCACCAACCCATCGAACTGTTCATGTCATCATACGCCACCGCGTTATCTATAAACAAGCATCATAGTCTGTAGCCAACGTAACCGGCATTTGCTCGGTATTCTCTGCAAAATGAAACCGCGCCTCACATGATAACACTAAGCCCTGAGGATCACGCGGTGCCAACGTCTGGTATCGATTGACCGCGTGGACTTACTTCGCTTTCGCCTCAGATATCAATCTTGAACTACGACCATTTTGCCTGATTACTCTCCTGGTGTATCGCCATTTCATTTTCGTAGTAGCAACTAAATAACTATTGCCCAGTAGCATGTTTTTATGAGGCCAATATGAAGTAAAGTAGAAACGAAATTTTTGCACATGTTCCACACTTCACGTGACCATTTAATAAAAAGTTCTCATCAGCGGCGAGAAGGAAGCAATTGTCTTTTATACGCAACATTCTAACATGTTCAGCAGAGATGTGTTTCGTGTGATAGAGAAGACAGAATCTGCAGGAAGAGCCAACAAAGCTCAAAGACCAAGCTTGCTATGTTAGCCATATATAAACTAAAAACTTAACTGAAATTGAAGGAGAATTTTAATGGTTGGAAATGCGTCACAAAAGGGGCTACTTTCGAATACGCATCACGTAGCACGAAAGAAACAGACTAGCCGTTTGGTCCAGGCAAAAGTTGGTTGGAACTCCAAGAGGACGACATCATTCTGCATGTACCTGTTTCTGAATCTTTTTCGTTTGAAAGTCATTATCTTACTAATTAGTGATTCATAATAGCATGCCGTAAATTAAAAATAATTAATTCTGTGCAAGAGTTAGATATTTAAGCCCCGACTTTACCTCTTTAGAGACATCTTTATCTTTGCTTTAATTAATACACGGCACTCTCTTGAACACGCTCACCGCATTACAATACCATGCCAACATCATTGCCCTGTAACCTCTGAAACGGCATCGTTTTCCCATATCTTCAAACCAATATATAGTTGAAGAACATTTCAACCTTGCATGTGCAAATATTTACTGCAACTCAATTATCAAACTTATGTAGGCGAATTTGAACGTTCATCATGCATTCAGACCCTAAACATCAAGGCAATGATGGAAGTTTGAAGAAGAACTATGATCAGGGCCATTTCCATTAGCCTGCTGCGGTAGTGAGACGGCCCTCATCCTGGACTCTGAAACAATCTTATAATCAGATACCAAGGTTTCAATGACTAATCTTTTCGCATCCTCAGGGCGAATCACCTTAGGGTGAGGGACAGGCAAAGAATGTCTGATAAAGCATTAAGTTACTTACCTTCGAAAAACAAAAGAGACATGAAATGTGGTTTATTTCTAAAGTGTAGCTTAAATGATGAATGAGAACCTTAGATATTATATTTTATTTTTTGCAGCACGAAATCAGGGTGAAAATGATTAATACTTAAAATATCTGCATCAGGAATTACATAGAGAAGATTCGTTTATGAATCATGGTTCGACAGGGAGAACGAGCAGCCGTTCAACGATTCTTTGCATGCATATATTGGCCTTGCTAAATAAGCTCAACCGTTTAAATTAGCTAGCGGTAAAATTATGCTGACTTGACCTCTGCAATAAATTGCTATTATATCATGCATGACCATTTGGTATTTATTTCAAAAACTTGATTTGCTTCACGAACTGTGTGTTAGCATATATGCAAGCAGGATTTCCTGAAAACGCACGTTTTTATGTCTGTAAATCAGTATCACTCAGAAATACGAAGCTGTGCTTCTTAAGACGGTGCATTCTGAACTATCGAATGAACTCAAGTACATAATTCAAGCGCATACACTCGCGTCCATTTTAAATTAATAAAGAAGACGAATTATTTCTTTTGTCTGCACCCGTCTACTAGAAAAGTATTAAACTATTGTCAAAGAAAACTGAGTAGTTCGTGACAAGTGATGGAACAGAATCCAGGCCAGATTCTGATTTGTGGATTACAAAAATTCAAAAGAAGTAATCGTCACTTTTAAAAATAAAATGAAGAAAGGACCAGAGACTATTGTCATCACGCACTTAAGACAATTCAAACTTTCAGTGAACACTCATCTCTAACGTATTAACTAAAACGTTTAATTTTCATGAATGTATCTTTATATAGCAAACCAATAAACGTTGAATAATTGAACGTAAGTTTTGGGCTACAAAAATCTTAGTTTGAGTTCATAGATGTTTAAAACAATAGCTGAGATGTTTCAAACAATTAAACATACAATATATATATCAAACTGATTATGATAGACTGCTTTAACAAATTGTGCTTATTGGATCAGCTAGATGACCATCGCTTCAGATATCGTTGATGCGTTGAGTAATGACACACTGAATTACTGTATATGATACTTGGTTCGTACTTTGCAACTCCATAATAGCTTCTTGACTGTTAATCTTCATCTTCATCTTCCATCGCCGCTTCTCCTTTCGGGTCGCGGAGGCAGACGCGTCAGACAG